TTGCTTTCTCACTTTTCCTTCTCTCTCTCTCTCTCTCTCTCTCTCTCTCTCTCTCTCTTTCTCTCTCTTTCTCTCTCTCTGCCTGATAAAACTGGAAAATAATAATAATAAAGTTAAATGAAATGTTTCTAAAAAAATCAAATAAGAAAAATTTAAATAAAATTTAAAAATAAGAATACAGGGGCCAGTAGGTGACTTGGTGGTTAAGGCACTGGATTTCCACATGGTTGACCATGGTTTGAGTCCCAGACCTGGTGGCTTGCTTTCTCACTTTCCCTCTCTGCCTCTCACTGGTCAAATTTAAAAAATAATAACAATAAATTAAAATAAACAAATAATTCTTTAAACAAAAATCAGAATATAAATTCACAAGAAGAATAGTAAGTGAATGAATGTCAATTACCTCTGTTATTCACAATCCCCCAGGGAAAGGCTACCAGCCCCTTTACGCATGAGGGACGTGCGGCTTCAGCAGATGTCCGGGACTCACCACAGCTACCCAGCTAGTAAGAAAAGGAACAGAGATGAGTGTTTTCCTGACTTTCGGTTCCCATGCTCTTCCTCCCCTGGGACTATCTGCTCGTTGCTCCAACCAGGGCAGAATGCTTTTCTTAAGAAACCAACTGGGGAGGGACCAGCATGTGGCGAGAGGTTAAGGCCCTGGACACTCCCATATGACTGACCACGGTTTGAGTCCTGGACCTGCTGGCTTGCTTTTTCCTCTTTCCCCCTCCCTCTGTGTCTATTTCTGGTCAAATTAAGAAAAATGAATAAATAAATAAAATTAAATAACTAATGCTTTAAAAATAAGAAAGAAAAGAAACCAGCTTGCCCCAGACATACCACATCCGTCTAACAGGGACTCTGGCGAGCCAGAGGATCCCTGGAAAGATAACTCACTATGTCACTCTCCTAGAGCTCATGTCTGCTAGACAGTGACCACGATGGCCTCTTCGGAGATAGTTCTCTGACTCTGCTGCCCTGCCTCCAGGGCAGAAACGATGGTAGACCCTGACAAGGCGCCTAAGGCCTAACTACGGCCTCTGCAAACCACCCAGGTCAGGAAGCCTCTTGATAATGCCCTGCATCACCAGTATTATTATTATAAGTATGGAAGCTACACCGTGGAAAGCAGTGCTGAGAATTTCCTGGACAGCTTCTTTCTCTTGCAGAAGACCCCGACACACAAGTAAAGAGAAGGCACTGGGGTGTGATGGTTCAGGTGCCAGACTCCCACATGACCAACCATGGTTCAAGTCCTGGACCTGGTGGCTTGCTTGCTTGCTTTCTCACTTTCCCTTTCTCTCTCTCTGGTCAAATTAAAAAATAAATAGACAATAACATTAAATCATTAATTTTTAAAAAGAGAGAGAAGACACTAATGTGAGAGGGGATCTGAGGGATTAAAAGGATCGTGAAGGCGTGGGTGTCCAAAACCCAACTCCAAGGAGAGGCGAATGCTACTTGGCTGTCATTGCTTAAGAGCTTCTGGCGGATAAATCCTGTCTGGTATTTCCTTGCTGATTTCTCACCCTCTCACCACAAGTTCTGTTCACTGTGCTCCACCATGCCATGCAAATTACCTGGCTCAGGTTGCCTGACTCACCGGCCCCCCTTTAAAGCAACACTGGGTTCCTCCGGGCAACTGCTCAGGGCAGACGCCATGGCCATGGCTCTCAGACGCTGCTGCTTCTACTGGTTACTGGTTGGCTGGCTGGTGGCTCCTGTGGCAGAAGGTAAGGGCTTTGCTTTTACTCTACTGTGCCTCCCCTAATTAATAAGTGGTATGAAATGACAGAATGGGCTCTGTGATTATGCATTCTTATAAACCAAGAACACTTCCATCAGCTTGTGGTCAAAGAGAAAAAGTCTGAATTTTATCATCTGAAGACCTTGGCCCTAGTCTCAGCCTTAGCGCTGTCACTTTAGACACGCTTAACCTCTCTGACCATCAGATTACTCCCATGTAAAGTGACAGTATTACTAATATTCGTGATTATGGAGGGCATGAAGACAGAACCAGCTACTATTTGTGAAAAACTCAGATACGAGTTTTTACCGTGATAATAACACACTTCGCCTTGAATTACAGCACTGCCCGCTTCCCCGTGTCTCCGACAGCATGGTAATTTGCTGGTGGGTGTTCACCTGTGTTCATGGCTTTATTAAGCACACGTAGTGAGCCTTGGCGCTATGAGGCGAGCACAGGCTTCTTTAAGATTACATTAAGATTTTCTATCGGGTTCCTCTTCCCTTTCCTTTCCCTCCTGCTTCAAATTTTCCAGGTAGCTTGAAATTCAGAATTAGCTTGCAAACATCTGGGGAAAAGAAAGGGACAGGGAAAGGAGAAGAAAGAGAAAAGAAAGCGGAAGGAGATCCCGAGGGGGTCTGGATTTAATTATTTTTTTTCACGGTTCATCTTGGTTCCACAACTAAATGCTGTCCAGAGAGGAGAGTCCCAGGAGTCAAACGAACTGTTTCCCTCTTACAGGCCGCAAGGTGGGGAGGAGTGGGGCTCCGCCAGATCCTACTTGTCCTCCTCAACCTTCCCCACTCTTTTCCCGCGGAGCTCAGAACAGATTGGAGAGTGGTAGAGACATCAGAGCCTGTCACAGGACACCCAGAGATCCCCTCTGCACAAATTCCAGCAATCTGAGGACAAGGGGCCACAGACAACACCTGCCCCGAAATCCTAAAACCAGGCCCCTGTGATCACCTGCTAGAACGACATCGAAAAGAGGCATCATGAAACCAGCCTAGTCACCTGCCACCTTCTTTCCAGAAAGCAGACTATTCCTGAGGGGCTTTGGAAATATATGGCTGGATGGGGTCAGCAGGTGGTTTGGTGGTTGAGATGTTGGACTCCCATATGGCTGACCATGGTTCAAGTCCTAGACGTTATGGCTTGCTCTCTCACTTTCCCTTTCTCTCTCTCTCTCTCTGATCAAATTTAAAAAATAATAATAATAATAGTAATAACAAATAAAATTAAATAAATTAATAGTTCTTTTAAAAAAAAAAACATGGCTAGACAAGTCATAAGAGGTTAGGGGTTTCTTTCATTCACGTCTAAAGGCTTGATTTCTGGACTTAGCTCGCTGTTGCCCGTAGTCCCTCAGGGACCTTTACCCGCAGCTGCCCTGTGCCCCAGCCCTGGTATCCATTTGTCGCTCTCTCCCAGACATATCCGGGCCTGCCAGACAAAGCCACGTGTGGCTCCCGCAGGCCCCGCTCTGTCCTCCATGGTGGCCTCCATGGCTGTTACTTACCTACTTCCTGAAATTCAGTTCACAATATTTAAATTCAAGCCACAATATTTAAATGTCTCTATAGTCCTCACAAAGTCTTTCTCAAGATTCACACTTTTTTAAAAGCGTTTTTTGCCCTAGGGCATGTGCACTCACCCAAGAGAGAGAGAGAAACAGTGAAAGAGAAAGTGAGAAATCACTCCCGAGGAGGGATGGCCACACCACAATCCTATCTCCATTCTCCTCCTAGGATTTCGGGGACACGCCCATACACACCTGGCGTGATTCTGAAGCTGCCGAGTCCAGGACTAGATTCGCTGTCGGCCACGTAGGAGTCCAGTGACGTAACCGCTACACCATCTGCTGGTCCCAAGACACACAAATTTAAAATGGCAAACTCTCTGACACCTTTGACTCGTTACAGCAATTCCACAGCCCCCTGGCACACGTAGCCTCCTGCTGTGTATTACAGATCCTCCTATGGGGAGCATCTTCCCACTCCCTGAGGGCTGCCCCGGGCCTTCATCATCCGTGCCCAGCATAGCACCTGACAGGGTAACTGCACATTGCTGGAATTACTTGATAGCATAGGCTCAAAGGAGCCTGTGTGACACTTTGTTCGCTACAAACGTCTTTATCTGTACAACGGGAGATTTGACCAAGATAGTCCGTCATTCTGTGGGTTTACAAAATAGCCTGTGTTGCAGTTATTGTGAGTAAATGAATCACGGGCTGGCTATTTCTTTCTGGTTCAATTCTGAAAGCACATGAAAATTTTTCGAAGACTTCACATACCACAGAAGGGAAGAACTGCATACTTAAACCTCAGGTATAAAGCTCACTTCTCTTAAAAGCAGTACAGCTCACTACAAACCTGCTATTGTCTGCCCAAATAACCACAGAGTATAGGTCATTATAAAAAAAAGATCTTCTCATCCTTATCCGTAGTTTTTGGTTGCTATGAATTTCATGTCTAGACTATAAGAAACTCATTTTAAATTGACATTCAAATTCCAAGCAATATTTTGGCTTCTTTTTTCACTGTAATTTTGAATACAAATTATTATTGCATTGGGAACCAGCAGGTGGCATGGTGGTTAAGGTGCTGGACACTCTCACATGGCCGACCCTGGTTTGAGCCCTGGACCTGGTGCCTTACTTTCTCACTTTCCCTCTCTTTCTCTGTGTGTGTCTCTCTCTGATCAAGTTAAAATAAGTAAATGAATAAATAAATTTTATAAAAAAAAAAGAATTACTAAATGCAGTCTTTAAAAAAATTATTATTGTACATTTTCTGGGACTAAAATAAAATACTGGGCTCCACAAAAATATAGAGAGAGGGACATTTAACATATGCCAGACAATTCACTGAATTCATCTAATGTTTACCTAGGACCACTCTAAGCCAGGGATCACTCTTGGTGCTGGGGACAAAACAATGACTAGAAGAGTCAATCCTCTGTCTAGCTTCGTGGAGATCCTATTCCAATATAGCTGAATCCTTTATTTCCAACCTTAGTACACATACTTTTTTTGTATAAAATAGAACAAGATGGGCCTGAGATAATAACTCCCGTTTACAGAATCTTCCCCTGACTTTCAAGATTAATCATAACAATAGCTACTTCATGTAGGCAATGCATACTTCATGTCAGGCAATGTTCTGAGCACTTTACAGATCTTATTTCGTTGAACATGTAAACCAAGCAACGAGATAGGTAGTAGTGTTTTTCTATTTTACAAATAAGGCAAACAAAATTCAAAGAAGCTAAGGAATTCATTTATGGTCATACAATGAGCAAATGGAAGCCTAGCTCTGGAGTTTATGCTTTGAAGCACTATGCTGTCCTGCCTCTCAAGATGTGTTTAATTATGCTTTAAATATTTGACCAACTGGGACCAGGTGGCTTGGTGGTTAAGGCACTGGACTCCCAGGGGGAAGTGTTGATTTCTTTCTTTCCTTCTCTCTGTCTTTGGTAAGTTTAAGTGCCTTATGACAAAAATCTAAAAAAATGTGTGTGTGTGTGTGTGTGTGTGTGTGTGTGTGTGTTTCAAATTGACCTACTTTAGCCTTGTTAAGCTTACAGAAAAGCTCTCATCTTTTTCAGTTCTTTTGGTGGCATGTTAGTATATTGCATAGTGAGAAATATTTGTTTATTAATCATCATTCTATCCCTGAGAATTAGAACACAGTAACTTCAGCAATTATAGGAATGGAGATTTCTCTCAACCAATTCAATTCTAGTATAGGCACTGTATTAGGGATGAAAAGACAGCGTCCCCAAGATGGTCATGTGGCTATCTGAGCAGAACAGGAATCCAGCTACTGGAGGATAATCACTTGTCTGAGGAACATCAGAAAGTGAGGTCGAAGGGTGCTGCAGTAGCACATCCCAAGGGCCCTTAATCCAGCCTCTGGGCGGGGAAGTCCTCCTTAAGGAGCTGAGATTTATGATCTGGATAGGAATTAGCCGCCCTGGGCTGCCTGCGGGGCGAAGGGACACGGAACCCCGTGTGGAAGCAAATGAATGGATTGAGAAAGAACACACAGTGTTCTTAAACTCACAACGGGCGCATGTGCATGCGTGCCCAAGATCCCAAGAGGAGAACAGAGGAGAAGGGATTGTGGCATGACCATCCCCCGGGGGGTGATGTCTCCTTTTCTGTCTCTCTGTCTCTCTCTGTCTATCTGGCAAGCGCCCTAGAGCGAAAAAACCTCTCCAAAAAGAAAAAAAAAAAAAAAAGAACCTATGTACATAGCCAATCCTCAGAGGGACCAAGCCTAGAAGTCAAAGACTGAGGCTACTCCCACCATCACTCACTTATCATGTGCTCACATCTCTTGTCTCTCTCTCTCTCTCCCCATCTCTTCCTCAAAGCCCTTCCCTATCTTACTGCTTCTCTGTGCAAACTGGCTTCTCTACTCTCAAAATTCAACTGGCCAAAACCTGACACTCTGGCCCCTGCCTTACATCTTCCATTAACATCTTCCACCAACTTTGTTACAATTCTCAAGTGAGACTCTGAGTGGTCACTGACCAGCGGTGAATGAATTGAGCATCTACCAGCAGTACAATCAGCCATAACCAGAAGGTGTATTGGGCTGACCTTTCCAGGGGTGTGGGTGAAACAATACATCAAAGAGACTTTGGACACAGGCAGAAAATAAGCATATCCCATGTAGCCAAGAAACCTGAATTTATCCTAAAGAAAAAGGGAATCTAGTTCTTTTTAAGTGCCTCAGTACTCTCAACTTTCTGTGGGAAGTTTATTTTTCCATCATTGGCACTTGACATCCCTTTCCAGGTCTGTACTGACAAGCCTCTAAGTGAGGGAAGGAGCAAATTTCTAAAGGAAAGCTTACCTTTTCATAGCCAGTCTGACTGGGTAATACAGCCAAGAGAAGACCTTAACATTTGAGCTCGATCCAGATTTCCCATCAAAAAAATAATTGCATTCCAAGCCAGCAAGTGGCATGGTGATTAAGGCACTGGACTCACATATTGGAGACCACAGTTCAAGTCCTAGACCCTGTGGCTTGAAAATCACACAGGACATGTGTGTATGCATGCCCTAAATCCCCAGAGAATGGAGGAGAAGGAATTGTGATGCGGCCATCCCCCCGGGGGGGTCATTTCTCACTTTCTCTCTCTCTCTATCTTCAGCAAGCACTTGTGCTCTATGGCAAAATATCTTTAAAAATAAATTAAAAAGATTGCCTCCTGGTGTGGCAGTCTTCTTTCTCTGCTATGTATAGATGTCTCTTCCTTTCTCTCTAGGGAGTGATTTCACTGCCTGGGCAGGTGAAGCAAAACTGTTGGATTAATGGCCTTTGGGAGCGGTTATTTTTATTTTCTGTCTTTTTTTCTTTTCTTTCTTTTTATTATTTTTTGGCCAGGGGGCATATGCACTGTCAGACAGAGACAGAGATAGGGAGAAAGCATCCCCCGAGACATAATCATGCCACAATCCCTTTTTCTCCATTTCCCCCTCCTTTGGAGATTTTGTGCATCCATATGCACCTGGTGTGTTTCTCAAGCCACTGGGTCCAGGACTCAAGCTGCACAATTGACCATGTAGGATCCAGCTCCCTTAACCACCAGGCCATGGGTTGGCCCTGTTATTTTTATTTTCTTAACATGAAATTCTTTTTTTATACTTTTTAAATTTTATTTAATTTTAATTTACACACATTAAAATTCACAAACCTTAAAAGTACAATTTGATCACATTTCATATACATATGTGTGTCCATATACATCAACATATATGTGTGTACATATGTGTGTATGTGTATCCATAACCATGTAACAGCTGCTCAGATCATAGAATTTTTTCTTTTTCTTTTTTTAGAGAGAGATTTTTGCATAGGGCACATGTGGTCACCGGACACAGAGAGAGATAAAGTAAGAAATCACTCCTCAGTGGGATGGCCACGCCATAATCCTCATTCTTCCACTCTCCTCTCAGTATTTTGGGGTTTGGGGATTTTGACACACACACATGCACCTACAGTGTTTCAAGCCTCCAGGTCCACAATTGGTCATGTGGGTGTCCAGTGCCCTAATCACACCACCTGTTTGCCCCAAGATATAAAATAGTTTTAAAGAGTTCCCTGGTTGCTTTTTCCACTGAATAATACCTACTCTAACCTATGCTGAATAATGACTTTTTTCAGGAAAAAACCTATAGATTAATTTTGCTTATTATTAAGCTCCATATAAATGGAATCTGGCAGTATGTATTCTTTTGTGCTTAACTACTTTGTTCAACAGAATACCCATGGGATTCATCCGTGATGTGCTGGGTGTTCTTCCACTGCTGAGTACTATTATATTTCACTGAATAAATACATAGTTCATTCATTCACTTCCTGATGGACACTGAGGATGTCTCCAAATTTAAGCTATTATGAATGAGACTGCTACGACCATCCTTAGTCTAGTCCTTTCGTAGACATAACACTCATTTCTCTTGGGTAGAGGTCCCTGGAGTGCAAATGCTGGGTCATAAGGTACGTCCATGTTTTATTATCTTGAACCTCAGACGTTCTCTCAAACAAGCTTTGAGACTTCTCCATCTCTATCTTTCCACCTGTCTTCCCCGGCACCACCCTTAATAACCCATCTCTCTTCTGTCTCAGCTATTAGGCCTGTTCCCTGACTTGCATTTTCCTCCCCTCAGGACAAGAAGCAGTTGTCACCCCTCCTGGAGGCTCACAAAATGACGGAGACCCTACAGACTGCCAGATATTTACACTCACCCCTCCACCCACCACAAGAAGTCCAGTCACAAGGGTCCAGTTCATCCCAAGAACAACTAAGTGTCCCTTCCACTTTTTTCCACCAAGAAGGCCCAGAATCTACTTCCCGTTTCCAAACAGACCTTTCTTCCCTCCGAAGTACAACCACCATTATCCGTTCCGGCCATTTTATTGGCCACGCGTTGGCCTTCCTCCTCGTAAATGCTTTCGCAGAAGAAAATTCCTGAGAGGAAGCTCGTCTGAGAGCAGAGAAGGTTGAGAAGCCCAAATGCACTGAAACCAAAGAAGCCAACGCCTCAGAAAAGACAATGAAAATATTTGTTTTCTCTTTTCAGACTACAACTATTGGATGTGAAGATTAAGAATCCTAAAGACAATTGGCTAGAAGTTGTTTTACTTGCCACTGGTGATGACACTAGATTATAGTTTATTCATGCTTGCAAAACAGGGCAATAACCACATTATTCTTGTCCCCAACTTTTTATGGTCAGAGGATATTTATGCAAATAAAATCTTAAAATTGATGATTCTAATAATTCCTATCCATCCTGAGATATCAGAAAAATGAACTCCTTCTTCTGAATTAAAGAACTTTTGTTTATAGAGAGATTTTTGCTACAGGGTGTATGCACTCGCTAGAGAGACAAAAAAATGAAAACTCATTCCCTAGAGGGGATGGCCACACTACAATCCCTTCTCCTCTATTATAATTTTCTCAGGATTTTGGGCATACACGCACACGTGCCCAACGTGAGTTTTAAGTCACTAGGTCCAGGACTCGGACCACAGTCAACCACTACATGGGAATCCAGCGATGTAACCATTACGCCATCTGCTGTTCCCAAAGTAAAGAACTTTTAAATGAATTGAAGGAATTATAAATCAAATGACACTAATGACACCCTTTTTTCATATTCATTGGGAAACTTACAGAGCAGGTGCATTTACAAAGTGAACTTCAAAAGAAATTATAAAGGCTAAAGCAAAAAAAGTTCTGGTGAGTCTACTATAGATAATTCTTTAAAAATATAAGCTGAGGGCCAGCAGGTGACATGGAGGTTAAGGGGTTGGATCCCACATGGCTGGCTGCATGGTTTGAGTCCTAAATCCAGTGGTTTGAAAAACATGCTGGATGCATGTGCATGCTTGCCCAAAACCCTGAGAAGAGAATAGAAGGGTTTTTGCATGGCCAACCTCCCCCCGGGAGGGTGCTTTCTCACTTTCCCGCTCATTCTCTCTGTCTCTCTTTGCTATAGGGTGCAAAAACCAATATATACTGAATTACGTAACCCAAATAATCACACTACCTTAAGCAATTGGTACAAATTAGTTTGTAAGTACCTCACTGTTTCTCCTGTTAGCATCATATAGCTACTAGCTAAAACGATTTACTTCCCCTCAAACTTTCAATATGACTTCAGGCTCAAAAGCCTGATTTGAAGGTTACATCGATATATATATATAACTATATATATATAGTTTTTTTAATTGCCAATGGGCATATGTGCTTGCCAGAGCAACAGAGAGAAAGAGGGAGAAGGGAAAGGGAAAGAACCACACCACATGGGACATGATCATGCTGCAATCCCTTCTCCATAAAAAGCAAATAAATAAAAAAATTTTTTAAAGTAAAAAACATAGATGCAACTGGAACAACGTCTGCGAGGCCATCAGTTTTACACACCTCAGTCACTCCTAGGGTCATGGCCAAGCAAAACTACTACAGAATCATCAAATAGCTCTAAGGTGAAAACAACACACATGTCACGAACAGTAGAATGGATAAATTGGTTTTGCTCCCCATACTGAGTACACTCAGCAGTGAAAAAAATGGATTACCGCAACATGCAATAGAGTAGGTAAGTCCCACAGATTCATACTCAGAGAATGAAACCAGACACAAATAATACATACAGTAAGACTCTACTTTCAAGGCCAGCAGATGGGGTAATGGTTACCTCACTGGACTCCCATATGGCTAACCGTGGTTCAAGTCCCAGACTGTGGCCTAAAAAAATCATACTGTGGGGACCAGCAGTTGGCGTAATGGCTATGTCACTGGACTCCCATGTAGTGAACCACGGCACAAGTCCCGGACCCGGTGGCTTAAACTCACGCCAGGTGCATGTGTGTGCATGCCCAAGATCCCAAGAAGAGAATGGAGAAGAAGGGATTGTGGCGTGGCCAACCCCTCTGGGGAGTGATTTATCACTTTCTGTCTGTCTGTCTCTCTCTCTCTGTCTTTCTGGTGAGCAGACATGCTCTATAGCAAAAACCTCTCAAAAAAAAAGAATTGGGGACCAGCAGTTAGCATAATGACTATGTCACTGAACTCCCATTTTGTCGACCACGGTTCAAGTCCTGGACCTGGTGGCTTAAAACTCACGCCGCGCGTGTGTGCATGCATGCCCAAGATCCTGAGAGGAGAATGAAGGAGAGGAGATTGTGGCGTGCCCATCCCCCCTGGGGGGTGATTTCTCGCTTTCTGTCTTTCTATTTCTGTCTCTCTGGCAAGCATACGTGCCTTGTAGCAAAAGCCTCTCAAAAAAAAAAAGGAAAAAAAAAAGTCATGGTAGTAAGTAAATAATTTTGAACTTTGGTGAAAAGTTTTTTGGGGGGCCTGCAGGTGGCGTGGTGGTTAAGGTCGCTGGACTCCCACATGGCCGACCATGGTTCAAGTCCTCAACCTGGTGGCTTCCTTTCTCAATTTCCCTCTCTCTTTCTATCCCTCTCTAGTCAAATAAAAAAAAAATAGTAAGTAAAGTTAAATAAAATAATTCTTTAAAAAAGAAAAAACTTGGGACCAGCAGTTAGCGTAATGGCTATGTCGCTGGATTCCCACGTAGTCGACCACGTTTCGAGTCCCGGACCCGGTGGCTTAAAAACTCACACCAGGCGCGTGTGCGTGCGTGCCCAAGATCCTGAGAGGAGAATGAAGGAGAAGGGATTGCAGCGTGGCCACCCCCCTCGGGGGTGATTTCCTGCTTTCTGTCTCTCCGTCTCTCTCTGTCTGTCTGGCGAGCGCACACGCCCTATAGCAAAAACCTCTCCAAAAAAAAAAAAAAAAAAAAAACTTTTGGGAAGGCCTACATGTTTAAGGTAACAAGAAGACAGGAACATCTCTGGGTTCTGTTTAATAGCACCCTCAAACTACCCATGGATAAGAATGGATTATGATAACCAATATTCCCTCTCCAAAGCCTCTTCAGGGAGTGACTCCTGACCAAATAGCCCAGAGACAAGTAATCAGCACTGATCAATAGGTTAACCTGACTTCCGGCTCCTAAAAATACCTTTCTTCACTGAAAAGTGCAGTACTCAACTCCAAGGCATACTTGCAAAGCTCTCCTTCTCCACTCTTATTCCAGTTGTGTTTCTTCACACAGGAACATTAGCACAGACCCTTACAATACGGATGGCTACCAGTGCCACAGTTATGTTGAGACAGGAAGCAATAAAAGGTTTCTTTGCCTGATTTTCACTAGTGCGGTTCTTATGGAAGAGAGACCAGATTCCCGCTGTACACTGATTAAACATCAACAACTGTCACAGAAGCCAAAGAAATTACCCAACCATAGACTGCAGTTACATATCCCCTTGATGCCTAGAAACAAGGTTTTAAGTGTAATTCAAAAAAAGAAGACATTTTCCCTTAGGATCCCAGTGTTTTCATCTTCTTCAACTCACCGTACTTTGTATCATCTACCCCTGACCAAACCCACTCTTAAATAAATATACATATCTATACAAATAACACAGAAAGTTCAGTGCATGAATAGCATGACATTTTATAACGTTTCTCTCTTTCCCCCTTTTTTACGCACTTTTAATCTTAGGTAACTTTACATACACAATTTATTAACAGTAAATACACATCCATGTAACCAGAACTTATCACTATTCTTCCATCGGATATATCTTGAAATAGCATTGGTAAACATGAAAGGTGACAGGATGACAGACATGGAGGGGCGCTTGTTCGATCTTCCTTTGAAACATGTGGAAGTCTTTGTCTTTCTTGATTCTGCGAGGTCTTTCTCAGAAAATGCGGGCCGTTCAGAAGGAAACAGTCAAAACCAAGCATGGATCCTCCTGGGGTGCTGGCACTCTTGTTGCAAGAGGATGTCATCGCAAGTGCTAGAGCAGCATCTAAAACACAAGGCATGCCACCACCAACGGCCCGTGAATTTCTCCAGAAATTGCTTTCTAGCTCACTTGTCTTCTCACACTGCACATACTGACGATACTGGTGGATACCATATGGTCTAAGAAAACTGCAAAATACATGTATCAGGGGCAGGCAGGTGGCATGGTGATTAAGGCGTCAGACTCCTACATGCTCAACTGCATGGCCCTGTAGTCCCAGACCCAGCGGCTTGAAAATCGCACCAGGCACCTATGTGTGCATGCCCCAAATCCCAGGAGAATGAAAGAAAAGGACTGTGGCGTGCCCATCCCCTCTGGGGATGAGTTTTCACTTTCCCTCTCACTGTCTCCCTGTCTCTCTTGAGCAAGTGCATGTGCACTTAGACAAAAATCCTTATTAAAAAAAAAATATATATATATAATACATATACATATATATTATCCTAACGATTGTGTTTAAAATCTTGGTTTTGATACATATGTGTGTACATATGTGCACACATATATGCATGTATACCTATACGTACACACATACACGTGTATGTATGCATCTGTGTGTACGTTTATATGTATACATACATGTATACGTGCATATGTATCAAATACATACACATGTATATACATAAACAAGATTTTAAACACAATCTTTAGGATAATTACTAGTCAAAACTATCGTGGGGAACAGCAGATGGCATAATGGCTATGTTGCTGGACTCCCATGTAATTAACCGCAGTTTGAGTCCCAGACCTGGTGGCTTAAACTCACACCAGGCGCATGTGCGTGCGTGCCCAAAATCCTGAGAGAAGAATAGAGGAGAAGGGATTGCAGTGTGGCCATCCCCCCAGGGGGGTGATTTCTCGCTTTCTGTCTCTCTCTTTCTGGCAAGCACACGTACCCTATAGCAAAAACCTCTCCAAAAAAAAAAAAAAAACCTATCATGTGTACCACACTCTCCTTCTATGCAAATAATGACCAATTTTGTCAAAATAGATCCAAGTGTGGTAAGGACTACAATTTATAGTTTCTGTGAATTAGATGTTCAAAGGTCACAAGAACTAACTCAAATCAATGCATTATAAAGACCTGGGAGGGTCTATACAAACAGGGAATTAAAATATATGCTTTGTTGGGGCCAGCAGGTGGTGTGGTGGTTAAAGGTGCTGGCTTCCCACATGGCTGACCCTGGTTTGAGTCCTGGACCTGGCAGCTTTCTCTCTCTCTCTCTCTCTCTGTCCCTCTCTGGTCAAATTAAAATAAACAAATGAATAAATAAATAAAGTTAAATAAAATAATTCTTTAAAAAAATGCTTTGTTAATTTCACTGTAAATTCACTTTTTTAAAAAGAATTATTTTTAATTTCACTTTATCGATTGATCGATTGATTTAATTTGACCAGAGAGGGACAGAGTGAGAAAGAGAGAGAGGGAAAGTGAGAAAGCAACTCACCAGCAGGACTTGAATCATGGTCAACCATGTGGGAGTCCAGCACCCTCAACCACCATGCCACCTATCAAGCCCAACCTTTTTTTTTTTCTTTTTTTTTTTTGGAGAGGTTTTCGCTATAGGGCACATGC